ACAATTATAATTTAAGACATTATCAGTTCACAGTTGCGTTAACACTCGGAAATACCCTTTAGTTTTGGTTTCATGGAGCTACGTATGTATCTCCTGTTGTTGGGGGTTGCCATTCGACTCTCAGAACCCTTGAATCACATCAACTTGTGAATAAGCATAGACAGACATAGAGAGCAAGGGCACATGCATAAGCTGAACAAGGCTCTGTGCAGTTTGCCGCCATACTGTAACTAACAACTAACAAAATACTTCAAATAATATGCTGATCTTACTTGCAATGCTGTTACCAGTGAAGATGCCTGCTGTTACGACATCCATCAAGTTAGATTTTCTGGCCATCTAACAGGAAGTATCTTATCTCTCCAGGAAAGCACTAGAGATATACTATCTTTTCAAAACAGCTCTCACAACCCTCCTAACTAACTCTTGTGAAACAAATCTTTTCTGAGAGACATGTATGTCTTCTGAGGAGGAAGAAAAGTGTTAGTTTTGGCAGGGAGAATACTGGGTCATGTGTAAAGCAGAGCCACATGGAATACTAGTGGCAGAGCTAGGCAGCCATCTGTTAATACCAGAAGTCTCTCATTTCGTGGCCGATTTCACCATCCGGTGATGTACAGTAGCCTGCACTCACCAAGCACCAAGAACAAAGTGATATTTGTTTGCAATTTAATCTGTGGCAAAGTGAATGAAAGGCAACATTCCTCGTGTCTTGCTAGACCCAACACAAAGTAAAGGTCATCTGTCTATCATGTGTTCTTGCTTGGGATCTACAGAGGAGGCCATGCTGGGAACTGTCTTGCTGTCTGGTATGCCATTCACACAAGGCCATATGTTGCTTACAGTACAGAATTGCTGAACGAGCCAAAGAGCATGTCTGTGCCTTGGGATGTGCTTCTACAACATTAGTGACCAAGATAATTATGTCATAGCTCAGAGGACAGGAATTTCCAAAAAAACAAACAAAGCTACATTAGGCCTGCTGGAGAAAATGTCTAAAACTTTTGTAAAATATTGCTAATTTATACAGATTTATATTGTAGTGAAACAGTACATTCAAGTACTTCAAGTGGCTATTATCAATATTTTTATAATAACAATGGTTCAAATTGCTGTGTGTAATCTGAAAGGGGTCATGTGTGGTGACAAACCCACAGAGAAATTAGCACTCGACTCCACAGTTCCCCAGACCTCTACGGAGCATTATACGGAGTGTGTTGGTTTTTCTGTTCTCAACTTTACTGTTTTGGTTTACTCTCACAGTGGTTGTTTTTGGCTGCAGCAGGCAGCTGTTTTCAGCAAAAGAAAGCTCTGATAAGTCTCTTGTGTGCTACCTACCCAGCACCAAAACACAGAGACTATCTGGTGAACACAGTGGAGCATTTAGCAGCTAAATATTATTATATTATATTTTATTTTATTTATTTATTTTTCTCATTTGACATTTCACATGATAGCTATATATGCTAGTTACTTTACAGATCAATCAAACAATTTGTAAAATGGTTGAAAGTAGTTCAATGTAGCAGCTACAATGTCAATCACTGCTTATATGCTAATGTAAATAATAATAATACAATAATATTTAAAAATATAACACACTTTTTCTTAAGGAGCACTTTTAATACTTTAGATTATATTTTTGAGAACTTTTACTTGTAGTGGAGTATTTAGGTATTATAGTATTTATAGTATAGTATAGATTTAGTATATTATCTGAATACTTATTTCACCATTTTACATACAAGTTTCCTTTTTGAAAGCGGTAAAAATAGATAAACCCTCCAGTGGTACATTAAAACAAAACAATCGCTGTTATTCATTTGAATCAATGAATAGTTATTGTGGAATTTGAGAATTCTGTGTCTTGTAGTCTTGCTGTTCTATGGGCCATTATGGCCAGGCAGTCCAGAAACAGTACTTCAGTGTTCTCAGCACCAGAAGTGGGATGGAGCATCATGATACAATATTCTGTCTGTTCAAGTTTGATTTGCAGTCCTTCCACTCTCTCTTTGTCTAAAGCGTTCCACTTCCTCATTGTGTATTTATGGCAACAAAAACAACTTACCATTTGCTCTCCAAAAACAGGCAATCATCTACATTTCTGCATTTATTCGGAATGAGATCATTTATGGTAATTCCGTAGTTTGCTTCCGTTCCGTAGAGGAGGATGTTCCTCATAGATGGCAACATAAAATCATCCTTATTATATCACAAAACATCAAACATAATCAATTATTGTCAGATGACCTAAAAAAGAATAATACCTAATTCTAAACTAGATGTTTTTGAAACATATATTTATATATTTTATGTCACTGTGAGTGGTGAATGAGAAATTTCCAGAAATTAGTCTGAGGCATTAGGCATTGGACAACATCCAACACCATGTGATGTAGAGAAGCAAGAAAAACAGGAATCCTCTAAACCCAAAAGCCTGCTGGCTTCAAACCAGGTCTGCATGTGTGGGCGGCAGAGAGATGGTATGAGTAGTTAACGCCTTCCAAGCTCTAAACCATGTCCGGGGTATTCCTCGCTCTTCCGGGGATTTTATACATCTATTAATCATACTGAGCTGGGAAAAAGGTTATAAAAACATCACACTGTTGGCATAGCTTAGTGAAACAGTTTTAGGACAATTTCATGGTGGATCATGACTCTTATGTGATGTAATGGTTTGAATGTATGACTTATAAATCAATACAACTGTGGAACAGTGTGTGTGTGTGTGTATGTGTGTGTGTCTGTGTGTGTGTGCGTGTGTGCACTATGTACAGCTCCATATCTGCCTGACTCAGTCTTAGCCAATGAAATAATCCATTTTACACAGCACACACACACACACACACACACACACACACACACACACCAGTAGAATAAAACTGAATGAAGTCAGTTACATAATATTGATAGCTTACTATTACCTATGCAAATCCCCTCTATCTCAGTCACTTTCAAAGGTCAGTGTTACAGAGGCGTATGTGTGTTACACACAATAAGGAAATAGTTTTATGGTGGCCTATGTGTCCCTTAAATCCACATTACAAAAGGTGGCTCATAACCGCAGTGTGTGTTAATAACAGCAGGCATGAGTCATCAGGCCTGTCTTGCGTAACTGCGTCACTTCTCCACCCAACTTGCAGCTAGTGCGCCACACCCCAGATTCATTCACACACTCTTCTCTGCTGCTGCCCAGCCTCCCATTGATGGCAGGGAGAGCACTACTCATCCTGTTCCATGCTGCAGACGGCGGCTTATAGAGCTTATAAACAACTCTGGCAGCAGAGCAGTCCAATCTGTGCTGGAAAAAACTAATACGTCAATAAACTAATACGTCGTGAACCTATCTTTTCACCTCAAATTGATCTTAATGCAGTATTTTTGGTCGGTGCAGCTGGACTGGAGATGGTGCAGTGGATGTAATGTGTTATATTTTTCAGCTCTGACAGAGCAGCACTGCTGTTTGGGATTTAAAATCCCATAAGTAACACAGGACATTAGGATTGAATGGAGCTAACAGGATCCTCAGGGAAACAGAGAGAGGGATATGTGGGGAGGTGGGGAGGCCTTTGGATATTCTCATCAGTCAGCCAATTTCACAAAACTAAACTATAGAATGATCAGTTTCATGATTTACAAATGCTGTGCTTTCTAAAAAAGACATACATTAATTTTGAAAAAAGAATGAAGATTAACTCTCATCCTTTCATTATTCAGTCTAGAAATGGGATTGATTTCTTTTCAAATACTATAATGAACTAATGGTGCATTTGATTATTTCAACCACTTAGAACATGATGTTATTAATACATACTATACTTAAAATCATTAACCGCCTTTCATCCTGACCGGATCTGTCTGTTTTTTTCAGAGCATGGCATGTAAGTATTATCTATCTTTGAAAAGAGTGCAGCTCTGCCATGAAATCTCATCTTCTGGTTCCTGTAACTGAGCCAAACAAACAGATAGGATTGTGTTTTCCTGCTGACATCAAGTGGCCACAGTGCTAACTGCATGAGTCCTCTGCTACTAAAACTGCAGCCTGTTTACCTGGGATAGTTTTACACAACTAACAGAAACATCCAGAATGTTATAAAAAGGCTTTTTGTATTGTTTTTGTAAGACATTAGTGTGACTGTGGCAAAGACATATAAAACCACTAAGAGAGAAAAAAAAACTACATATGTATTTATTATAGAACTGAATTCTTGTTGTATGAAATTAATCTTTCTACTCAAATAATCCAGATTTTTCAATGAACTAACATCTATGTCAAGATTAAAGTTGTTAACAATAGAACTGTTATCTCTTTGTGGATGAATAGCATTCTTTATATGGACAAAGGCATCTGATTGTCAACTGGTGTCGGTCAATCCAGATCCCCTAACATGGGCACTAACATGATTAGACATAAATAGCTCCTGTCTCAATAGACTGTGTAACTAGATACTTACAATGCAACCATGTGAATATTTTACATGCCGCAGACATGAGCCACTACAGCATACAAATTACACCGAAAATTTAAGGTAAAAACAGCACAGTTTGTGCCAGTGTGTCAGTTCTTGTTTTGATATTACAACAGTAATATTTCAGGGCTACTTTGCTTGTTTATTTGCTGTGTGAACAGCAGGGCAGGGCAGAGAGACAAGCATGTGATCAGCTTGTAAAATACAAACACCAAAGGCAAATCAGTAAAGAGACAGTAAAATAAGTGTAGTTTGCTTCTCAATAACAATAGCCGATTTAGTCTTCAGTAAGAAGCATGAATTATCAAGATACACTGATGCGACTTTGGTCTTACTCACTCTTTCCACAAGTAATTGTAAAAAACAACAAAACTACTGATCCACGGACAGAATAACATGTCTTTTGGGCTCATCAAGCCAACACACCTCTCAAGAATATCAACTCTGTTCTTAATGGTAACAAAACTGAAATGAGACTATATAAACAAAATGAAAAACTGACAACTTCTCTGACAAATGCATCTTGTTTATTACATGGGCACACATTCCAAGCAGACTTTTCATGTAGAAATATGCAGGCGTTCCAGGGGTATGAGGGGGCAATAGAAAGTCCTGAGGGTATCTTAAACGCACAGAAATGTATACCATGTGCACATCAGAACATATATAACATACAGACTAGATCCAGTACTTTTCTCTAAAAGAAAAAAAAAATAGTCTGCCAGAGTCTGGTGTAAAACTCATGGATGACTCATGGATATGTTCTGCTTTGTGCACACATACATTTTCTGCCCAGCTAAACAATATCAGCCTCTCAGTAAAAAGGTTTGTAAACTGGCTGTGGCACTTCAGACATGAGATTTAATCAGAAACAAACACAATGTTGATGTTTCAAGCAGCCAAACTAGTATACTATCTTGGCCTCTATAGAGAATAATAATAATTTAGATACATTTACACAAATTCAGTATACTTGGGCTCTAAAAGTAGTTACAAACTGTATTTACAACAATGCAAGAGATGGTAGAAAAATACAGAAACATTCCGCTACAGTATTCGACTGAATCTTGCAAAGTCGTTCCATTGTTTCTATCGTCCAAGTCAGCTTCCAACTTTCCACAGATGACCGTGGAGTCACAGAGAAATACAAAAATAACACTCTGGATCTTCTCTTGTTCAGGGTTACTCCACTCCTTTCATGAACTCCAAGAACTCTGTAAAATTAAGGAAGACATAGTGTAGCATTCAGCTACTGAGCACCAAACAAACTGCTATGAAACTGTATCGAGCAAATGTCTTTTTTGGCGTGTATTTTTAAGGAATGGGCGATGAATGATAGATCTTAAAACAATTGTGTTCCTCACCATCATAGTCAATTTTGCCGTCGTTGTTCTTGTCCCCGTCTTTCATGAGCTCCTCAATGTCGTCTTCAGTAATTGTCTCTCCTGTAGATTCCAGCATCATTTTCAACTCATCCAGGTCAATGTAACCGTCTGCGTTCCTGCACAATCAAAGGAGTAAAGTATATCAATGCACATAGCAAACCTACGTTATATGCTTCACAGATGGTAGTGGAGGAGGTGGTGTGTTTATGTGTGACACGGATCATATCCTTCACTTAAGTATTTGAAAATTATCGCTGTGAGAAAAAGTATGGCAAGTTTTTTCTTTGATGCTCAGACGAGGTGTCTGGCTTACATGGAGTGGGTGTTTGAAATATTCTGTGCTGTCAAAAAGGATTATGGAGCAAACTACATGCTGTACTCTGCGGAGATACTTGGCATTTTGTCAGTATACATAATTGCACAAGGGGAGCATACTTTGCAGGAAGCACACTATGAAGAGCAATTTGATTACAAGTCTGGGATTTTCAGATGATAGCATCCTATTGTTGTAGATATTTTGTCAAGTCCTTCATTACAATATCCTTTTCATCATAAGATTGTGCCAGTGAACAGCTCTCAGGGCATTCATTCTTATAATTCAATGGGACAAACAAGCAACAGGGTTTAAATATGAAACTCACTTGTCAAACATGCGAAACAGCTCTGCCAGTTCTTCCTCTGACTTTCCTTTGCTGTCATCCTTCATGCACCTCACCATCATGACCAGGAACTCATCGAAGTCCACTGTGCCACTCCCTGCACACATATAATGCACTTTATCATGTCCTTGCACTCCACACTGGATAGACTTTTATATCATTCAACCACCGAACATGTTCTTCTTAAAGGTCCACTCTATTAATATAATGTATCAATATGAACATAATTTAACCTAAAATGATTTATAATACATAGACACCAGATAATACCTTAATCTAAACAAACGTTTCTGATTCATGAAAGTGATTCATGAAAGTCTAAATCTTTATTTACTGTATAATGTCAAATAAACCTGTAATTCATATGGCCAAACAATATGGATCGGACCTTTAAATGTCCCCCTATGTAGCCTTACTTATATTATATTTTATATTATTTGACAACATGACATATACATTGATACTTTAGCCAACAAATCCAAGATGCTATTTTTGTTTTATGTTTCATCATTACAACTCATGGAAAATTCAAGATGACTTGTGTATCATCTGATATGCATTTCCCTTTAATCCAGCCTGACACATCTTGTTGTATATAAGATCCTTGACCATCATTTGACATTAAGTTCAGAAGGTTTGAACTGCACTGGTCTGCAAAACACGAAGGTCAGCGACAATCAACCAATCATATCATTTCTTGTACTGTAGTGCAGCAGTGTTTTGAATTACCATCTTCATCCACCTCGTCAATCATCTCCTGCAGCTCCTCTGGTGTGGGGTTTTGGCCCAGCATCCTCATCACCTTCCCCAGCTCCTTGGTGCTGATGCAACCGTCCTCTGCATCTTGTACGAAGATGTCAAAGGCGGCCTTGAACTCTGCAACACCAGAGGAACATAGTGCTATAACACCAACAAATGCTGTATGGACCTGGACAAAGCGAGCCACACCTTTGCAGCATCCCGCATAATGTGCAGATAATAATATAAGTAATTCATATTTGAACGAAAAATGTATGATTTTTTTGATGCATGCTTAAAGAGATTGATTATATGTGTCTACATACCATTTTTCTGTTCATCTGTCAGCTGCTCAACCTGCAAAAAGTGAAAAGTTTAAATAATAAATGCTTTGGTTAGCTGACTTTGAATTTTGGAAATTAATATATTGTGTACATTCTGAGTACTGTCTGTGTCATTGTGTATGTTACTTTTACATCATTGTAAATTTAGTACCAGTGCTCCAAAAAGCCATATTTGCTCAAGAAGTGTTTCACTGGGTTTCAATGGGTCTTGAATTATAAAGTGTGAAACGGGCCTCTGGAATAGATTATTTCTATCTGTTTAGATAACTTTTAGGTCAACAAGGGTAATATTTTGGTCCCACACACTGGGCCATCCTTGACAAAACACAGAACCTATATATCACATGTGAGAGCCTGTAAGAGGAAGAGTTAAAAATAAACAGACAGGAGGATCAGGAACCACAGATAAAGGACACAATACACAGTGCTTTAAATTAGCATAGCTGTGGATCTGGCCCAACAATGGAACAGTAATCCTGGAAAAGCTACCACGAATGAGAGAGGGAGACAGCTGCTTATGTAAGAGTTATCGTCTGTCGTCCACTATAAATTAAACACACACACATGCAGACACACTCACACACACACACACACACACTCCTCTGGTGATGATATATGAAAAAATCCATCTAAACAAACACATGTAATGTACATTCCTGTGTGTTTTTACTGTCTCAGCTGCACTGCTCATTTGGGGTGTGAGTGGACGGGGACAGCCGGCTGACCAACCGCGGGTGGAGGTGGACAGACAGCAACACAGCTCTCGGGCTCACAGATAATGCTGGAATTCAGTCGTGGGGGGTTTATCTAAACCTGAAGCCCTTCTCTGGCACCAGAGAACTGAGGGCGCAGAAGCGTCTGAGCAACTGGCCAAAATTAGCCATGTGAAGTGGGACTGTACCATTTGAAGTCATGGATGAAGCAGCAGAGTGCGGACCAGGGACTTGTCCTGTCAGTGACCTCCTGAGTGGCTCCTATCAGCTCTGATAGGGCTGAAGTAGGAGAACATCTAGAGACGTATATGGTGTCAAGGCTCTTTTGACATCAGCTGGTGATGGAGGTAATATACTGTGCAAGCCGCATCAACAGGGATTTGTCAGGCATTCGAGTAATGTCAGATGAACAAACTGATGGGCGACTTTTTTATACAACAAAGTTCCAGAATATTCCCTATGACAGCCACTTGAATAGGATGGAATAAAATTATAGTCTTACACTGTAAATCAATGACCATATGTCACAAACTATAATAAGTGTTAGGGATTATGGTTTGTAATCCTAAACAACATCACTCTCATACCAGATTTAGTTCACACACAGATTTTTGGTTAGCATCCAACAAAATAATTTCATCAGAGGAAGCCAACTGCACTCTTTCAGCTGTATGGGATGTGGGAGGACGTACCGCTGCCTTGTAGATGTCGTTCATGTTGGAGGCTCGTCTGCTGCCTGTCCTGACGGCGTCCTGACACAGAGGAGGGAGGTACTGTCCAGCTCAGGGCAGCACACTGGCCTCATCACGGGACAGTTTTATAGCTGGACCCCGGCGCTGTCTGATCCCTCCCCAGGCGGACCAGCCTCCCCTCTGTTTGTGCCTCAGCATGTGTCCACGAATGTGTGTTTGTGTATGTGTGTCATTTGCCAATCTGTCACAATCACCAGGCTCAGATAAAAATGCAGCAGCTCTTAGGGGGCATACTTTGGAATGGAATGAAGTGAGGGGGGGTATGGATGGTGAAGCCTAATCTCCAGGGAGGGGGCTATAGAGACACTCAACATTCCTCTAGACCTGGACCAGAGACGCAGATGGCTCAGGAGGTTGAGTGTATGTGTGTTTGTAGGGCCGGGGTGGTACAGGAGGTAAGAGAGTGGAGGCCAGGATGCAGACGCAGACTACAGCCAGCAGACCATGAAGGGAGGAGAGCTCTGTGGAGTCAGGTGTGGGTGGGGTATTACTGTGGTTCAAAGACCTGATCATACAGACAGGTATGTGCTTTTTTCATGGCAGACATATTGGCTTCCAGTAAGCTATGCTAGTGCACAACAGTGGGGCCCTGGACCTGGACCACCTAAATGGAATGCAGCCATTGTTAATGTTATTAGTTACACCTGTGCTTTTACTGCTATGACCTGTTAAAATGTCTGCCTTGAAAAATGATGCGGGCAAATCATCTGTTCCACAGTTGACAGTTCAGTTCAGAGTTCAGTTTTACTAGTCATTTGTAGGTTAACACAGGGTCTATGGTACAATGAAATGTGTTGGATGAGAAAAACAGGTAATAACAGCACTAGTCATATAAAGATCAAATAAGAATTTTAAATGGAATGAGATAAATGAATCTAACACTATATAAATATGAGAAATGGGGATTTGTGTGTCAACGTACAGGGCGTTCTCATGTTGTTATCTGTAGGGGAAGAGAAAAAAAATAATAAAATTAAAAGTCCCATTTATCCAAATGATGAAAAATCATATTCTCCCACTTACTTCCAGAGGTTTTGAGGTTTCTACCTCCATCCCAATACAATGGATTCTTGACTGAGTGTCCCTGACTGGATAATCCACAGCCATCAATATGAACAATTTCCACTGGACCTTTTTTCTACTGAAGCAGTAATCCCTTTTAAAACTGTTGACAGTGTGTTCTGTGGATTATCCATTTAGTATACCTGAATTTATCTGCATCACATGCACAATGATCTTGAAATCATACCCATTAGTTTTAGCCTATGAAAAACATAGCTAAGGCAATTCCCACTCTACATGATTCATGAAGATTTAAATTCTTCATGTGCAACACAGATTTAATCAGCAGAGGGTGCTGTTCACTATATATCGATTAAATTAAATTGTTGCGCAAGGCTGCCACCGGATATCCAATTTATCAACAGTGGGGTAGGTGAGAAATCTGGGTCAAACAAACCAAACACTTGCAGACACATTTAAATTGAATTGTACACAGTGCAAGACTTTGCAGCATTTTTTTTTTCATGTTCTTTTGAAACAAGGCCATCTCAATCACTTGACTGTGTGATTCACACACACATTCACACACGTGCTCTCACAAAAGCTCCCACACACACATACATGCACACACACACGGAGCATGCTGTGGCAGGCATTCTAAGTGACGAGTGATCATGCTGGTTTATAATGGGATGCTAATGGGGACTGGCACAGCTTACAAGCATCATACAGCCACTCAGAGAGAGAGAGAGGGGGCTCACACTGAACAACATACATGTCCTACTCTTACACTTAGTGCACATCAGCCACATGCAAAGGTGACTGATGACTCCATTTCTCCATGGAAATAGAAAAGAAATAGGTGAGCTGGGGAGGGGATGAGAGGGGGGTCATGAGGCTTGTGTGTTTCCTCACTCATTCGTCAGAATTTCATAATCAAAACACACAGCGCTGCATTGTTCATTGCTGTTGGAATTCAGAATAGAAATGAATCGTCATCAGTGGCACCGACTCCATCAGCTGAAACCAAAGCATACTGATGAGTCTACATGGTCAGCCAGACAGATTCATTTGGAGAGCTGAGTGCAGTCTGGTGGGTGCCAAGAGTGACGAGCAGTTCTGCAGGGGGCACTAGATTCTAATGTAAAGCTTTCTTGAGCGTGTACACACATGCACACACCCCCACACACATGCTGTAAAACCAAAGACTGGCACACACATCAAAGAAAGCATATGGAGTGCTGTTTCATTGGAGCTCTCCACCAATTTCCTCTTACAGAGGAAGGCTGACGAAAGAGCCAGCCATCTCCTTCACACAGCGCAATCAGACAGCGCATCTCAAATCCACAATTCACCGCACACCGCTTTTTGAGGGGTTGCCATAGAAACTCTGCTGGGTAGAAGCGGGCAGAAAATGAGAGGAGATGAGCGGGGCTATTTCCCCCTCCACCTCCCTCTCTGCCTCCCTGCCACCACATTTTGTCCTCAGAGTGACTGTATTATTTTCTATTCTTTGCCTCTTCTACGCATACATGCGCACGTCAAAATTGCATACAGATATGGGGGTCATAATTAGGGTTAACAATGGTTATATGCGCTCCAGAACCATTCATGCAATTTAACTAAATCCACAAGTGCAAATGATTACATTTAATGTTAAGGCTGAATACTGGAATACATTGCCTTCACTTCTTTTATACTTGCATCTTCCCAGGTTATGGGAAATGTTTTGAAGTTGCACAAGCATGCACATTGTGCTTGTGAATCCTACTTTACATAATAATAGCTATCTGACTGACTCGCTATTTGAAAAGCTGAATTTCTATCATCAACCAAAATCTTTTCCTGCAGAAAACATTATAGATTCCAAGTGTGCAATATGTCAAAATGCCCGAGGCATAACATCTCATGCTGGCAGTACTGAATCAGCTGGATTAGGTTTGTGAAGATCTACTACTATACACAGCATACATCATGTCAATTTAAATACTCGTGTGATACAATGATTGGGTTGACGTGCAGCTGAGCTTGAAGCATAGGTCCTACGCTCTCTCCTCCTCCTCCCCTCTGTGTCCTCACCTCCTTGATTGCTGAGGGGAGGAGGGGAGCCGAGCCTGTCAGCCTCTCTTTCTTTCTCTCTATTCTTTCCTCCCTTCCTCACTCTATCAATTTCTTTCTCTCTGCCTCCTTTCATTGATGACCAACCTGTCAGCAGCTCCTGTTGTGGCAGGCTGTGAATGCTCTGCATGTGACTGAATGAAACACAGTGTCTTTCAACACGAAAGCATCTCTCCCTGTCCAGTGAGTGCTTTATTAGAGAAGCCCAATCTCTGATCAGTGACAATGTCTAACCCAAATTGAGAGATTTGTCTTTCGAGATGAGGGAGAGGGTAGTCTTCAGTTTGCTTCACTGCATTCAGTGGTTCCTTTCTGAAACTCTTTGCGCTGAGGCTCTTGGTGTTACGCAGTGTTCCTTACTTCAGAGCTCTAATGAGGCAGTGGTCACATTAGCTCCACTGCCGATAGAGCCACGCACTAACTCTCTGCCAGGGGGCAGCGTTTTCCAGTCCACTGGACTACCAAGTCGCCTACCCCCCTTTCTACCCGAACCCAACCCCCCCCCCTCTCCTCCAACCTCTATAATAGTGTATGAGACACCCAGAAAAGATTTCCTTTCAGATGTATGGCAGATGAAGTTCCCTTCAAGCAAGAGAGAAAATGTGTTTCTTCTATATGGCAGCAAAAATATCAGTCAAGAGTCTGTCTTGAGATTCACCATCGAACAAGCTTTTCAGTGGCAATGTTGAAAAAATAGTAGCCATCAAGTGAATTAAGAACAATCCCTTTAAAGTTTTTCTATTTTGGCTCAGTAATGAATAGTGTGCTAGTCACTGCTAACTATTTATCTAATGTTTATATTAAATAATATTAGTACACAGATCAGAGGTCACATTGTCTGTACCAAAACGCATTTGTGCATGTGAGTTTCTCTGCGTGTATAATGAGATGAGAATGTATGTTATTGGTGATTTTTGATCATTTACATGTGTGTCAAAGCAGTAACAGCCAGTTCAGAGCATCACTGCTCCACAGTTAATGTTCTCAATGCTGTTACTTACAAAAATGTATATACCCACAAATGCAGTATGACAGAATACAACAACATACAATGCAAGGAAAACATGCACTGTACAGTGTCTTTAAGAGACATCAATAAAGATAGAGAACTGTGCACTTAATCAATGATTATTTTTGCTAGATTCAAATACTACTCTACTTGTTAAAAAGGTGTTTAGAGTGGAGACAAAATTTTAATTAATATGTTTCAAATTATGGATGGAATAGAGTTGGAAAAATAGGGTGCACACAGCAACTGTGATATTTGTATGTGGCATACTCTACTATCCTGTGGCACCTAAAATATAACGTTGAAAAATTGGTTGTGAGGTATGGAACATGTTCACTAACTGAATACAATGACATGTATTTTTAAGCCCTCATAAATGTAGTCTATAACAAGAGTTGCCTGTCTTAGTAAAAATTCTCCCTGCGTGCACACACACCCATTTTGGATTTGTCAGTGTCTCTGCCATCTCCTCTTCCCCTCAAATAGAAGCTCTCTGAAATGGAATCTGCAGGCCCTCAGGGCCAATGACAATGTTTCTAAGTAAAAATGACATTCCTAAGTAAAATGAATAGCGTTATAACTTCAGCACTATTACATTTAAAAAGTTAGCTCTATTGAGAGGAAACAGGTCACAATTTTTACTCTCCCAACTGTTATCATCCCACTTTTGCTTGTTGGCTTTCTGAGCAAAATCAAAGTTGTTGTGCCACATTTCTGCACCGAGATTCTGGAGAATGTTGTTTCATTAAATAGTAAAAAAAAAAATGCATAAATAGCAACATTAATATTGTAAATGGTCAGTTACCATTAAATACATTACATATAAAATGTGTAATAAAACTGTGATCATACTCTTACTCATTACAAAGATAGTGTCTAACTTGCAATATAACATTTATTTGCAATTGTTTTAGTATTAGACCTTCATAAGGCGAAATTATCCTTATCAAAACTTGAAAATACTCAAATAAATGAAAATCATCACTGAATGGTACATTTGCATATGGCAGCCCCTGTTCAAGAATGCATGGCAGAGGACCCTTTACAAATTCATTACCTAAACAGTTTTTATTTTTTATCTTATCCTGATATTGTCTTTCCTGCACTGCTTTTTTTATACAACAATGAGCTCTGTGTTGACCTTTGTAAATCCACTCAGAGAGACTTGTGTGTTGGGCAAGGGATATACATTCTGCCTTCAGGATAGAGGTAAGAGAAGTACTGATACAACCTGCAATCATCTTCTTCTGAAGCTTTGTCAAAAATACAAACTTTTTCAGACATCCATTTGATATTTCTATCGGGTATCTCCTCTTGCACCACCAGGAGGATGACATTTGTAGTTTTGAGTGAAATGCATCCCCGCATTAGCTTTTCACTCAAAGCATCATTGTACCTCACAGAGCGGCTAATATGACAGTAGACTCTTGTTCTCATAAGCTAGGTGCTGTATTTCTGTCCTGGTATTTGCTATTGGCCAGAGCTCATCTGTACTCTGTGTGTTGCGTCCAAGAGAAAATGTTTTGAAATGGCTCTGTAACTGGGATACTGCCTCAGCCTTGAACAGACTGTCAGCATTAAAGCTGCACCAGGCAAGATTCTATGTCGCAATACACCAATGTAATCAGCCTGCACCATGAAATGTGAGGCAAAAGAGAAAAGTATTCCATCCCAATCAAATTATCAGTTCTATTTTGGTTTTGACTATTCCGTCACCTTTGCCAGAAAAGGAAATCAAAACAAAGCTACCCTGTTTATTGATTTTACACTCCACAATTCTGCCATTTGGGGCTACCA